CAGCAGGAAATAGGAGGCAGAAAAAATCAGATGATGGGATCTCTTGTAATGAGGAAGAAGCAATAGAAAATTACATAACTGATAAAAAATAAATAAATAAAAGGAAGAAAAAGCCCTCTGTGGTAATGTCCTTGATTTATTTGTACAGACAGGATCTTTTATGATCCTGATATGAACCCTGGGAAAAAAGTAATGCAAATAATCACCATGCAGAAAAAGCCTGGGGAATATAACAATCCACCAAACTGTGCTACAGTTAACTACCTTTGGGGCAGCTGTTAAAATGAACTAATGCACCAAAACTTTGAGAAAGTTTAGATCTTTTGCAAGGAATAATTACAGGGAGAAGTGTCAAAGTCCAGCAGACAAGAGAATTCAAGATCAATGGATAGACAACTGCTGATTTCAGTGCAAGACATCAGATCTATAGTTAGAAAGATGTCAAAATAACTCAATAGTCAGAAATTCCTGGAGGTGCTTGAGCATTTTCCTGACTCATAACTGCATAATTGATTTGTACCTGTTTGCAGAAGTTTTATTACTCTTATGTGCAAAGAATCCCATTGTTGGAAGGTCAGCAAAACTTTTAAGCTTCACTGATGTAAAACTTCATCTAGGAAGCTGTAAGCAAGTTTTGATTACTTACTTGCAACCTACTGTTTTATGCAATGCTCCTTTGTTTCCATCTGACAAACATCTTTCTTGGCTTTTTGTATTATCAACCTTTTAGCATAAGGTCTACTTTGGTCAGTTGATTGGCCTCTTGCCTTCTTTTATTTGATTAATATCTGCATAGTCCCTAGCAAAACCTCCCGTTATAACTTATAACCTTCTGGAGTCCCACTGATTTGCCAATTACTGTAGAAATGAGAGAGACTAAACTTGGCATCCTGTGCTCCTGATAATAATGTCTTTATCTCTGTACAGAGAAAGCTTGATTTCACAGAGGAATGAGCACTTAAGCAGGAGCAAATGAAAATGCTGTCGCTGTAGCCTTTCTAAGGACACTTTGCACTTTTTAGACCAATTTTGAGCAGCAGAAGAGTTCTGATAGTCAGCCTGTCAAGTCTGAACAGAAACCAGAGCGTCTTATGAAGTGAGGGCAGGTTTGTTTAATAAACATTGGACAGCCTCCTTAGGCTCCCAGATAGACAAGTACAAAGAGAGTACCAAAAGGGCATGAGAATTTCATGGTTTTATCTTTTTTGACTGAAGGATGGAGATGTCCTTACATTAATTAAACAGCTGCTCCCAGCCCATTAGAGGCCCTGAGCACTCAACTTATGTAGAGAATAGATGTTAAAACATGGAGTACAGGTGTACATGGAGTACATCTGAGTTTTTTGGGTTTTTTTTCCTCTCCTTTCATTTTTGACATATGTGGTCCTTAAGCATAAGTGCAGTAGATTTCCTTGGGAACAAATTTGAGTGAAGTTTAGGTTTATCTTGTGGTAAGACATGGATTTGGGGGACTACATTCATTTCCCTGACCTGTCACTTTATTTATGAGCACTTCATCCATGTTTACCTTAGTTTCTCACATGCAAGGTAAAAGAAGAAAATATCTCACAACTCCTTTTATATCATAAATTCTCCAGGAATAGAGACAATCTCAAATAATATCTCCTTTTGGTGTCTACAGCTCCAGGTCCAGGTCCAGTTTGCATTGTGATTCCACTAGAAGAGATGTTCTGTGCGCACCAACACCATATTAAACATCCAATAATTTCTGAGGACTAAACTTTATGACCCAACTTGTCCCTTCCATTTATGTGTTTTGTGCAATGAGCATTTCATAATAATGGAAGAGTACAAAAAAATACTCTAGATGTTAAGAGAAGTGTGATCTCCCATTTAATCTACAGGAAGAAGCCGTTTGCTTGAAGGCGACCCTTGTGTGTCATATTTAATCATTCTTTTCGTCCTCCTTCCAGGGAATGTGACCAGGAATTGTACAAGCCAAGGGTGGACAGATGTGTACCCTGCACCGTACGCCCTAGCCTGTGGATATGATTCCAACAGCACACGAGAGGAAGAGGTAGGTAAACCTGGGTGGACAGACAGCAAGAATTGCCAGGGATAGACAATAGAATCACACGATCTTCCCTTCCCCAATTTTTCTATTCCCACTGTGATCCCTAGAAGCAGAGATTGAGTGTTCTTCTGGTCAGAGTGCCTGTGTACAACATGAGGTGCTTGATTATGCATATTCAAGTTTGAAACATTTGTCCAAGACATCCCTTGAAATATTTATATATTTTGTAAAGGAAAATGCAAACTCTCAAGGATGTAAATTAGTAATTAGTGACCTATGTGTAATCAACTTTAAAGTATTGTAGCATATTGGCATTTACAAGAACATTGTTACTGGGTAGCTGCATGCTGAGACATGAAAGGTTAAATCTAAAGAGGATAACAAAAGCATTTTCTAAAAGCAAGATTCATCTCACCTAACAACATCTAATCTAAGCTCGATGCCTACAGTTGTCCCACAATCAACAAGAAAAAAGCTCATGCCAGAACGCCATTGTATTTCATTATACATGTGTTTTAAATCCATGCCATGACATATGTTAATGTTTGTGAGTGCTGGGCCTATATATCTTTATAATGAGCACATATGCAGTGAAGGATCTTTGTGAATGACCACCCAATGCAAGGGCAGTCAAACAGTTAATAGAAAATCTGAGTTGAATTTAGCCTGCATTAGCAGTGAAGGAATACAGAAAATACCAATGGAAAAGTTGCACAAAGAATTTTAGGGATCTGCTGAGAGGAGAGCTCTAGTCTGCTTTTGGGGTCACTTGCCACTTCACATCTTCAAGTGCCCCATTTCTATGACCAAAATGTACGGTGCCATTTCTGCATTGTGAAGGCCATTCTTACCAGTTCACCAAGAGCTTGGGTCCATGTTCCAGCTGCAGCGAAGGGATTTGGGAATTCCTGCTAATGCCTTGGCGATCTGAAGGACTGCAGAATTGCCAGAAAGCCTCGTTACCAAGAGAACACACATAGTGCTCCTTTAATTCTCTCTTAATTATTTTCTTTTTATTTCTACACTTTTGTCATGCTGTTTAAGTCTGCATCTTTGTGTGAAAGGTGGCCAAGGAGAGTGAACATGAAGTACTAGCTTGAAAAGAATAGCTTTTCTTATTCTTTCTCTTTATTTTTTTTTTAATTTGAATTGGCTGTCAGCTTGGGGATGAAGAAATAAGGGGAATTAAAAAAAGAAAGAGAGAGAGAACAACAGGCTGTATAAAGCATGAGGTCCAGAACACACTGATAATCATCCATGCCCAAAATGCACTTTCAACGTCTGATGGCCTCAAGTCAGAAACAACTAAAGTATACAAAGTAAGTAAGGGATGCATGTAAGATTTTATTCCTAAATTCTAGCAGTCCTTGGGAAGCAGATGATGTAGGCAGTGACATAAGGCACCTACGATGCTTGCAGTGATGCTGATTCCTTGTCCACCCTGACGTTGAAGAACGGTATATTAAGAGACTGGGGCTTCTTTTACTATGAGGAGGTCAGAAGGGATGCACGGCTTCCCCACCGTGTGCCTTTGATCAGAGCCAGGGCACCCTATATAGGCTCCATCTAGAGGCAATGAGGAAAAATAGGCACCTCCACAGGTCAGTTCATCCCATATTCTCTGGAGAATTGGGAGAATTGGAGAATTCAAATTCTCCAAAGAGAATTTGCTCTAGGGGGAGCCTGGATAAAATTTAGCCCTACAGAGCTAAAGTAGGTGAGATGAACTCCAAGCATTTTTGGGTGTAGGTCTGCGCCAAGACCTGTTATCAGCAATGCTGGGAAAAAACATAGCGGCTACTTAGCACAAATTAAGGAAGCTGGTTTTGAATTGCTCTCAGTAGAGCATCTACCTTAACTAACTGTTCTTGCAACGTGCCTCTGAAAGTAAGCCGAGGCTTTTAGAAGTCAGAAAGGGAATGATAAATTTGTCCAGTTTCATTCAGTATGTCAACAGCATGTCTAGGTTTAGAGCATGCATTTCCTTTACATCTCTAAATCCTTCTGTTTCTTCTAATATGAATATTTTAGTAATCTGAGCATTAAAAGTGAAATTCCAAACCTCTTTATGATCTTGGGTAAATTTATCTTCTTTGATATCTGTAAAACAGGAGATGATCACCCTTAGCAAGTACAAATGAAGAGTGAGAATTGCAGAAAATGGCTTATGGAATAAATCTAAGATCCTGCTTAGCATACCTTTTGAGATAAGAAGCAAGTGGCCCATATCTCTACTGCCCCATGGCAGTTTCCATCTGCCCGCCCACTACTTATATCTCTGATGGTATATCTTTATTTCCTTCTCTACATTACACCTTCTTCTCTGCTCTGACAAATATATGTAGGACGACCACAGGCTCTTTCCTTCTGTCTGGCCAGATATCTCCTTGCCCATGAAGCAATGCAGACAGGACCACTGTAACCTTTGTGCATCTGCAATTTCCATCTTGCTTTTCATGTTGCTCCAAACTGCCCTGTTCAAACACCTCTCACCTCTGCCTCGATGGTTCTGTAAAGTTCCTGTGACTCAAAAAGTCACATATTTCACTATTTGAAAATAGTGTATAAAAATGTTAGTTCTCACAGTAATAAAACAGTGACTTCCTAGACAGGGCTGAGTCTAGATTTTGTCAAATCTGCTTGTTCTGGGGTGGATTTTTTTGCCTTTTTTTATTATTTATTTATTGAAAATGATGGCAAGGGCAAGAATTTAATGTTTTCCAAATGGAGTTGTCTTCTCATGAAAATACACATTCTTCATGGATAAAATAAATGCCCGAGAAACAAATGATTTTTTTAAGCTGTTAATCAAAATTGTGAATTTACAGTGTTGCTGCAGAGTCCTATGAGAACTGGACTTTAGGTTCCCTATTTCCCCGTTTTCTTTAGACCAGGTTTCTGTGTCAATTAAAGCCCTACAATGCTCCATGCTCAGAGACTCCCTTCATGTGCTGTCTTACACGTCTAAGGGAGAAGTCATGAACTAACTTCCAAATTAACACATATTTGTGAATGAACATATGTGTGCTTTCAGTGAGAACATTTTAGGATTGATTCTTTTTCCTTGCCAAAGAAAAATCTCTGACTTTCACAAAAGCAAAAGCATTTTTTACACCAATTCTTTCTTCAACCTTCATTAATAAAATTAGTTCAGTGGAGTCAGTGCTGGCATGTCAATGCACTGCTTAACTGAATATTAGTCACTCTTGTTTCACAAGATTATAACCACGTATCTGTCTAAGTGACTGTCAAGTAAGTCTGCTTCCTCTAGAAACCTTTCCTCCATGGAATTGTGACCTGGTTGTGGTGTGATCCAAACTCTACTGCAACCAGGCGCTTTTGTCTTTTTCCTGGATTCGCCAAAAAAAAGTAAAAAAATAGTGATGCTGTATTCAGTGTTTGTTTAGGAAAGTGTGTTGACATCTTCTGTTTTGTTTCTCTTGTTCACATTAGCAAACGACATCATTCTACGGAACAGTGAAGACTGGCTACACCATTGGATATACCTTATCACTCATTGCTCTTACAGCTGCTATGATCATTTTATGTCTCTTCAGGTAAGACCATGAATAAAAACGACAAAGGCAAGAGGATGTATCAGAAAAAAACAGTGGCTGTTTTAAACACAGATAAATGACTGTTTTGGTTATAGGAAATGAATGTCATACACGGGTGCATATAGAACAGAAAATATCTGGCTACATGTGTAATCTTATTTGATAGGTCTCTATATGTGGGGTAGTCACCATATGTTATGGTTCACAGAAACCTAGTTAGTATAGTGGACATGGATTCTAGGGATGATGCATTTCGCCTGAAGCAGGTATTTAGAATGTGACAGATGAATTACCCCCCACAACTACCTCCAAAAGTGCACGTGACAAGTATTTTCTACGATAGTCCACATAAATGTAGGGCAAGACATAAACAGCTAGTGCCGTCTGAGACATGCTAGGGCCACGTTGATACCTTCACAGGGCTGGCAGATATGAAACAGGACCTTCAGGAGGCACAAGCCTTCATGGATTGGCAGACGGATGTTCTGTAGCACATCAAGTGACGTTGGATGTCTGGATTCTGCCAACTAAATTCATCCTTAATCTCTATCACTTATAATAGATTCAGGCATTTGAATTAGAGTGTCGCCAACAAAGGCACCCACAAATGGGATAATCTCTTAGCATAATGTTGTTTAGATATAGAGAGAAGAACATAAAGTAAAACTTCAATGAGATGAAAGAATCTGCTAGCTCTGTATTCCATCCCCTACCACCACTGTGTAGTGTTTTTCTCTAAGTATTTTTCTTGCTATGTCATTGCAAATACATTACAGCCTGGTCCAGAAATGGTTCCTCCACAAAAATGTAGGAAGTAGCATGTTCTAGAGTTACTCCTCTCATGTTTATACCAAGGCTTCATGAGCCTTTACAATCCTTGAGCGGAGATATTTGCTTCCTTTACCGCACCTCGCAGCTTACACACTCTCTGCTCCTCTCATAAGCAAAGGGGTGAATCAGACACACAATCAAATTATCTCAGCAAGAGTCAAGGTGCCAGCTAAACTGATGAAGTTGTCTGGGTTCACACTCTTCCTCTGTGGCAAGCAGTGTGATTTGACTTGGCTCCACCTGCATGAGCAGAGGACTCAGCTTGGTCACATTATGTTGCCAACATCAGATATTAAAAGCACAAATTCTACCGATGCACAGTGACTCAGTAAGAGGTGGCACTCTGTTTTGGTTCTGATGACTGTACAAAGTACCCATTTCCAGAGTATTAGGCTTTTTGCTCTGAACTGATGTGAAGTTTCACTTGAAAAGCAGACTTTTTTGATCAAAATATATCTTCAGAATATATTAGCAGGTAAGGAAATAATAAGACTAGTGCTAGTCTTAATTTCATTAATCCCTAATAATTTAAAAATAAAAATATTGGTCATATTGCTCCAGAACATGTGTAGTATGTGTTAATTTTGGCAAGGCTTACTAAGAAATTATTTCCTTTCCTCCAGAAATATTTCACTTCTGAAAGGATTGTTACAGTGCAAATGTTCTATAGAATACAGCTCTTTATCTGGAGCAAAGTCTACTCAGTCAAAAGTCTCTCTTTTCAATGGAAAGCAGTTTCCTATCATTCTATATTCTGACACACAGAATGCCATATTTTTGGTAGCTTTAAAAAGGCTTAAGTGGATCTTTAGTGAGTCATATCAGAATATAGTCATTCTGAAAGTTCCTGATGCTTAATTGAAAGTCTGTATCTTGGCAGAATAAATGTGTAAGTAGATAAATAATGCTTTTGAATAGCGTTGTTATTCAGAAATGTTGTTTCTTCCCTTGCTTCTCAACAGAAAACTACACTGTACTCGAAACTATATTCACATGCATCTCTTCATGTCCTTCATAATGAGAGCTATTGCAGTCTTCATAAAAGATGTCATCCTTTTTGAGAGTGGAGAGTCTGAACACTGTTTTGAGAGCTCGGTAAGTAGCCTTTCACATTGAACTTTCCACCTTGTCCTGTTTGTCCCTCTTAATTGATGCACCAAAACAATCATCTTGTAAGTGCATATGAGACAACATGTGGGGAAGACCTCAGGTTTTAGTCATTTGAGAAGAAGCAAAAGCCCAATTGCTACTGTTTAGTTTGGGTGGAAAAGGCATAAAAAATAGAATAATGCTCAAAAGTTTGTAGGAATCTTCTCCTTTCTGAGATACCCCGCTAGCCCTGTGTCTATTTTCTAGCCCCATGCTGATGTCTTTGATATCCTCAACAAAAGAAACTCAGAGCAGTGTGCTCGGGGAAGTTCATCAAACTCTGCATGTCAAGAAGAGAGTCAGCTCCAGGTGCAGACAAGTAACTTTAGACTTTTAACAAGGCAAGAACTATACATAAGCTAAGTGTAAACTGCAATAACCAGTAATAGAGATCTAATTAATACTCTCTGTGGGGTCTGGATAGGAGCCACCTTCACTCAGTGAGCTTAATAGCTCTTTCCACCAACTGCATTGACCGCATCTCTGCAGGAGTTTAGACTGCTGGCTCACATATAGAAGTCTATGTATAAAAAGCAAAATTTAAGTTTTCATCTGGACCTGAATCCTGTGATAACTGTGTAACAGGTATCTCCACTGGGCTTTTAAAAGAAGGAGAAAAGGAATTGGAATATTTTTCAGTTTACAGAAACAACTCACTCATGCTCAGCATAATCAGTTGAAGCAAACATGAAGGCCGGAGGAGAGCTGTTGATCTAAAGGCTGTATTGACGCAAGAAGACACTGGTCATGAATAAATTTAGGCAGGAAATTAAAATCAGGAAAACAGTGAGATGTGACCAGAAGTCAGGAAAAAAAAATCCATAAAGAATTCATAACATTAGAGGAGTTACTCGCTAGTAAAAGCGATGGGGGGGGATGCAGCAGGGGACTGAACACAGCGGAGCAGCACAGTAGAGAAGCCAAGAACCCAGTGATCCATGGAGCATGTTCTAACCTCTCACCCCGTGGGAGTTTCTACCAGGTCATGGCTGATAGCAGAAGACTGTGTGAAAAGTGTTTGCCGCCACTGTCCGTGCTGAAATACTTCTGTGTATAAACACAGGACTTTGTCCTGCAGAACTCCACAGTGCCTGGAAGCCGTTGTGCTTTCGGCCAGACCCATGGCTACCACCATTGTGTTTGCTTCTCCCCATTAGAGGATTTTCATTTTCAATGCCAATTCATGGTGAATGGCTGGACGCTACACAAGGGTTATAAAAACACAAGGAACAGATCTGTCTCTGCTGTACTGGATTGAGCTTACCTGTTGCAAAACATGTATCCATCTTCACCCAACGTTTTGGACAACTTCGGTCATAGCAAAAAAGAGCCTATCTGAAATGCAATGAAAATGCCTCTCATAATGAAGTGCCTGCAGAAACCCTTTGTATTTAGGTTGAGTTTGGTTAAATTGGCTTAAGTTAGGTTATTAGGTTGTTTGTGTTTTGGATTTGCAGGATTTGCAGAAACACTTTGTATTTAGGTTGAGTTTGGTTAAGTTGGCTTAAGTTAGGTTAAATGATTGGGTTGTTTGTGTTTTGGATTTGCAGGATAAAGTTTTAGCTTGGAAAACCGGGGTACTGCTAGTTCATATGCTTGGGGATGTGTATACAATTTTCTGAAGCTTGCTTGTTTCCATTGTAATTGGCAAGAATATGCATATTGCCTTGATCTAATTCAGCCTGAGGAGAGATTTGAACAGTCCAATTTACTGAATTTTCTCACCATGTACTGTTTTAGAATACGGTTGAACCAAGGAAGTAATGATGTTTTAGTAGAAAAGAAAATACTTCACTTAGTTCTTTTGAGAAAAATAGGGACAAAGGTACCCTCCTAGAATAGAACTGTGGCTATAAAATCCAAATGAATGGAGGCCTCTCCCTGAATTCCTGATGAAAGGACCTAATTACTATGTTTACCATTCCTGTTGCAGTAAGAGAACCTAATATGATGCTTTATACACCAGTCACAGAAAAACGTTTAATACATCCACAGAGATGTATGTCAATACTCCAGTCAAGTCGGAACTCCAATTCCCATAAATACATAAGTAACTGAAAAAGACAAACTTGTCTGTAGGCTTTGCTGCAGTAGCATTTTTTGCTTCATTTTCCCTAATTTCAATGTTAACTCTGAGGCAAGACTTTACTTCTTTAATTTCAAATAGTTTAGAATTACCATTGGGCTCTTCAATATGAAGGCCCTGGAAATAAATCTTGTTGGGCATTTCCATGGGTCACATTGCCTGAGCAGTGTTCAAATGTCAGTGCAATAAGCACTTCTGAGACTGGAGGACAATGCAGCCAGAATATATATGTTGAATATTACAGAGCCATCATGTGAGCCTAGTATGTACTTTGTGTTGGATGATGTTTAGGTAGTGATTTGTAGTCATTGTAGACTCCTTAAATTCTTTGGTCTTTCTTCCTTGATCAGTCTATGCTAGAGGCACAGAAAAATCGTTGAGGTTTGATGAATAATTCAGCCTGCATTTCTCGTGTTGGACTCTGAGTTAGTAAAGAAGGCTGTTTTTTATAACTAAATGTAGCATGATCAAATGACCACAGATTAAAGGGCATATGCGAGGTGTCACAGGCTCTCTGTCCTGTGTGACTCCTGCTCCTTACCCTTTCCCAACTGCCCGGCTCAACTAGGCTTATCTTTAGGCACATCGGTGATCCCGTGGCACACGCAGCAGAATGTGGACTTACCTGCAGAGACAACAGGCCCTCCAGCAATCCATCATGGGAGATTTCCATGTAAAAATGAATTCAAGGTTCAGAAGACCAGAAGGAACAAGAATTTCTGGCCTTGTGGTTAGAGATTTCATTGAGGAGGGAGAGGCAAAGGTCCTAATACATGGATTTTTCCTGCAGTTTCTCAGTGTTCTTTAACTTTTGTGTAAAATAGGGAAACTGTCCCTGGAACTCTTAGCACAGAATACTGTATAATTTTAGAATACAACAAGAAGGTCATGTCTCAGAAAGGGACTAACTAACCATTAATATCCTGCACCACAAAAAAAGCCACTAGCCTGTTGATGTGGTATAAAGATGAAGGCAACAACGCAGGCTCTGGCTCATCCAACAATGTTTTAAAGGAGAGCAAGTCCCCTTCTACTCAGCTGTCTGCAATGAGAAAGTGCTGCATGAGGCATCTGAGAAGACAGCAAGTAGGAAATATAAAAGTTGTCCTTTTCCTCCAGGGTTATTGAGTAGGCATTTACTTCCACCTACAGAGAGGAGGGCAAGCTCTTGTTAGCAACACATACCAGCATCTGCTGAACTTTGGCTGACTGGCTCAGGGCAAGAGCCTGGCACAGCTCGGTCTGAAGACAATGGGAATTTTTCCTTTGACTTTAATTGGAGTTGAGTGGGGCTCTAACATGTGTAAATATATCAACAGACACCTCTTCAGTAGCTCAATCTGATAGTGCAGAGTTGTACCCCATCCACTGAGTTCCTCAGGACCAGCCAGGCCTGAAGGAGGTGTGGAAGGGCACTGCAGTCCCTGCTCAACTACAGTTGGAGTCAGCACTAGAAAATAAAAAGTAAAAGGGATTGGGAAAAAGGGTTGTGGTGTTAGGAGGTAGAGCTCTGCAAAGTGACTTTTGGGAGAAGATGGGAGCATGGTTTTAAGGTCCAAGTTTGGGAATGGAATTTTCAGTTATGGAGAGTGAAGGAAATCATAAGCATCAGAGAAATGCAGCTGAAATACTGTCATTGTGAGTAGGGAGGTGATGAGTGTCAGCAGGGCATAAATCTGGGCTCTGTTCATGGAGCTGGTAGCCTGCCAGGCTGGGAAGGTGAAGAGGGTCCATGCCATAAGAGCAGCGTTCTGCTTTAGAGCAGTAGAAGTAGAAGAGTCTGGCTTTCAGATATACGTTAGCCAGTTTGGGCATCCCTAAAAGTGGAAAAGAAATGATTTCACTGTCTAGTTTCACTAGAGAATGAATGGGCAGTAGCGGAGGAGGAACTTCTGGGAGCCATAGCTGAGTTCCTTCCCAGTCAATTGGTCACAGGAGCTGGTAGTCATTCCCCAGAGGATAATGCTCCATAGGGAAGGGATGAAATGATCCATTCCCTCAAGGAACAACTATTATTACATTCAGAGTTATGTCCATCCTTTTCTTGCACTAGTCATATCATCCAGCCCTTGAGATCAGCTAGACCAACTAGTGCATTCACTTTCAGGAGAACATCTCCCTGACCAAGTTCTAACATGGTATCACATGGTTAGACTTGGATAAATTATTTCCATACCATCTCCTTTGCTCATGGGAATGACCCAGGAGTGAAAGAAGTTGTGATAGAACGTCAGACTGTAAGACCTTTGGAGCAGGTGTTTCCTGTGAATAAATGACCCTATCATGCCTGACAGAGCAGTGCCCTAGCCCTGGACTGGCACCTTAAAGTAACGTAGCATTGTCAATAATGAGATCAGATGTGACAAGTGCAATGACCTGCATTGTCCTGATCACCTCCTCCTTATGGTTGCTGACTTGTGTTCAGCTTCCCTTATTACTGGGGTTGCATTCAGAAATCCCATTATGATTTTCCAACCAATGAGCACAAAACAGGGAGAGTTACCCAATTTACCAAGGTAATTCTATTTTTATGACTCAGCTCTGAGCCATCTGACTCAGAGGCTAGACCAGCTAGAGCTAATCACCATCTTAAAAAATACTCACAAGAGCGTAAAAAAATCAAACTAGTACTCCTAACAGACAAAAATGGAAAGGCTCGGGCACTCAGAGGCAGTTAGTTATGTAACCCCTATTAAATTCAGTGGAAGGGAAATTCTTAAATAGCCTTGAGGATTAAAGTCACAGGGCTTAAACTTGCTTCTTATGTGAGGTAAAGCAGACATAAGAGCTTCCTACTGAATTCAACAGATAGCGTTATCATTGAGGAAGCCTGTGTGGGAAGGCATAAAGTGCAGTGATG